CCCACCGGAAAAAGTGAATTTCCGCCACTGATTATTGACTGTTGTAGCAATATATATTATCAATATATAAAGCTATATATATATATATAGATTGTGTTAACGTGGTTAAAAAATAAAAATATTTTGACTTTGTTGTTTCTGATGACATTTGCCGACTCTCGACTTTTTACTCTAGACTTTTTACTCTCGACTTTTTACTCTCGACTTTTACTCTCGACTCTCGACTTTTTACTCTCGACTCTCGACTTTTTACTCTCGACTCTCGACTTTTTACTCTCGACTTTTACTCTCGACTCTCGACTTTTACTCTCGACCTATACTCTCGACTCTCGACTTTTAGATACACTCAAGATTTCCCCGAAGAAATATTACGAGATGTTCGTGGTTGTATATTTTTGAATGCCTGTTTAATCTTTATAATTTTTTTGCTTGAGACAAAGACAAACTAAAATGTACTCTACGTTTCCAGTGTATAGAATATCTCGTTTGAACAGCAATAGAATATTATAATCTTGACACAAACAAGAAGACATTTGACACGTTAAATAGGGGCAATTTTTAGATGTAAAAAAAACTTATTCATTTAAACAGTGACGCCGCCAGCTCGATAATTGGGGGGGGGGGCACATGTTCGTGTTCTGCATTACTAATTTCTTTTGAAATCAATTGTTGTTAAGGTATGTGAACACGAATGTATGAATATTGCCCCACCCCCCTATTATCGAGCTGGCAGCGCCACTGTATATAAATCAGTGTACGTATAACTATCAGTGCGCTCACAAGGTTGACCTCGAAAATTCCGACGTTAAAATTTTATCAATTTTCCGACGAGTCTGAGCGTCAGGGCCCTCGGCCACGGCGCCACTGCATGTTTGTTGAATGTTGTTTAGGCTGGTAAAAAACCCGAATCCTTGGTCGAAGGTGACGAAGTAGTTGCTCTCGTGTGCGGATACTTTTCGTGAGGATTTGCCCTCTCGAGGCCTTGAGGAAAATATCTATCGTGTTTGATATTTTTCACCTCCCGAGGAAATCTCAGCGTCTGCGGATGTTGCGAGCTAAGTGCTGAGCTGTTTGAATCAATTAGCCAATGACAAACCATAGTTTCTTCATGTGACATGGAACAAAATGGAGGAAAATGCAAATAATTTTAATTATGTTGTTGTTGAGTAGTTTTCCCAACGTGTGTGGAGAAAATACATAGCTGAGCTAGCTGCCACTCGAGGCGGTTACCTCAGCAAATTGCTCGCGTGTGCGGCAGGCTTAACAGTTAATAAAACTGACGGCGAGAGAACTAATACGCATGTACGCCATATTGCGTACCTTTTATTGGCATGTTTTGCTGCATAAGGATTTGACCATTCGGAATTAATCAAGTTCGTGTTTTTTATAAGGGATTAGTCGCAAAGCAAGGGCGGTGGGAAAGAGTGAGCACAAAAGGAGAAACCCGCAATTGTGCATGATCTACAATAAATTAGAATTGTATCAGTGCTTCAAAGGAGTGCTGGATTTTCATTGCCATTGTCCACCACTCTGGCTTCATCCCACCGTTATATTAGAAAACGTGAGACTATCAATAAATTGTAAGACATATTTATTTCAGAACTTTGGAAAAGAAAGCCAAGAAATTTCTTCGGACTGGCAAAAAAAGAAATATATGCAGGTACGCGTGCTCTGTATTATCTACAATAATATATCTGTGACAAGAACACAAACGTTCAAGTTTGAATGAAGAAAAACAATAATTCAAAAGCGAAGGTATAATTTCTAGGTAAAACTATTACAACTAAGATCCAGGCCCGGAGCTACGGGGGGGGGTGTGTGTGTGTGTGTGTGGGGGGGGGTGACACCCCCCCAGTAATTGTATTCAGTCGGCAGGAGTGCTATTCAGTCGGTAGGACTGCTATTCAGTCGGTAGAACTGCTATTTGGGTTAAATATTTTTGGCGCAAAGGGCAAGAACGTGGTGGGAATTTTAGGAAAATTTTGAGGAAAAATGTAAAAATTTTGGAAAAATGTAAAAAAATGTTGAAAATTTGTTATGTGCGGAAAATTTTTGAATGTTCCGGAAAATTTTTGTACGTCCGGAAAAATTTTTGGACCCATAAAATGGTACACTGACCGAAATTTTTTTGGCGACGGGGGGGGGGTCGACAAAAAATTTTTGATCCGGAAAAATTTTTTTTCAACCAGTCGGTTGAATTGACCTTATTACACCCCCCTGAAGAATTTCCTGAGGACGGCCCTGCTAAGATCCCGTTCATGCACACGGACCCGGGGTGAAGTGTTTCAAAACTTTAACACATAGGCATAGGTCAACTGAAGTTTTTAAGTCTCATCTGTGGAATCACAATATTAAGCTTTCTATTTTGATTAAACAGTATAGGAAAACAAAGTATCTCGCTTTCAAAGTAAACATGCCCTGTTTCCTCCTTGTTACAAAATTGCCACCAACCATCTACCGTATTTTTCGAGGTTTGCCTTCCATGGGCATAGGAACGACCTGGGGGCACAGGGCGCCACCCAAATTTAATAGAAGAGACTTCGTGTCGCCCAAAGTTGAAGTTGCTTCCTACGCCTGGCTGTTCGATCAAGCCCCCGTTTGGCGTGCTCCCGCCAGTACCCTCCCAGCAATATCCCGCTTTCCCTGCTCATATCAATGCATTTAGGGCCTGTTCGTATAGAAAAAGCGAGGACACACCTATATATATATATAGGCAAGTTTGAAAGCGAGATCTCGCCTTGTTAACAAATAATAGAAACGTCACATTGCGTTCATATGAGACAAGTTTTCCTGTGTACCGAGATCTCGTTTGTTGACAGTCGAGATCTCAGGTGACCGGGATGTGTTTTCCATATGAATACAACATTAGTGGGCAAAAGAAATAAAGTAGCAGGGAACTATTTGGCAAAAAAAAATTGCCAGGCAAGCTGGCGCCATTTTGAGCAATTATACAACGATTTTAAGAATTGGCCGTTTTTATGCTATAGAGACGCATAATGCGTATATATATAGTCGCATTACTCGTCTAGTGTAAGTACGGGACAAATAATCGGACGAATTTGCAATCCCGGTTATGCGTCTTCAGTATAAAGACGGGCACAAGACGCATTAGGAACTATCATCGGTTGTGCGTCTCCCAAGACGAATAATCGAAAATAGTTCGTCTAGACGCATAACGCGTCTTGTACCCGTCTTTAGGGAGTTTACGATCTACGACGAGGCCGGCTCGACGACGCGCTTTCAAAACAAAGAAATTTGGTGTTTCTACAAACAATAGTATTATACAGTTTGTTTTATCCCTATGCAAACCTACAAAGAACTTACAAAGAAATTTGTCATGCAAGACAAAAACTGTCAATAATTCGTCAACCGCGTTGTCATTCTCAACACAACGTTAAACAAGCATTATTACATCTTTCAGTCAACGTGAAAGCTTAATACGACTCAAGAGGTGTTACTAGCTTAAAGTCGAAATTACAGCAAACATTGCATCGCTTCAGCCGAACGTAGCAGTTTGTAAGGTTATTTGAAAAAGCGTCAAATATTTATTACAGTAATCAAATTGCTTACCGCTCATTCTTGAGCTGAAATTTAGACCGCGGCGTCGTTGAGTCGGCCGTGTCGCAGATCGTAAATTCTCTATTATACTGAAGACGCATAACCAGACGAACAAGAAATCCTTGCCCAAGTTCGCCCAGATGCATTATGCGTCTCTAGTATAAAAACGGCCAATGCTTCATAATGCGTATTTTCTATCCACAACGACGTACAGTACTTTCCGTGTATTTCATTCAGAAAAATTCGAGGAAAAACTATTGGCCAGGAACGCCAACTCATCAGGTGCTTCTAAAAGAAAAAAGGAAGGTAAAGATAGAATAAAAATTAAAAATTCGAGCATGAGATAAAAATACCAGGTGATTGCAACTTAATCTTAATTGGAACGTTATCTAAAAAACTCAGTTCAGTTATAAAACATGATGGATTCCAGAGTAGAATATATGATGTGACACATCTACAGAGTGTCCTAAATACTGGTCTATGCTGAGTGGTTATATTACTACCTTAAAAAACAAACAGAAACTCGACGTTTCGAGCGAAGGCCCTTCGTCAAGAGTTAGTAGCAGGGATCGGGGAAAATGCACGGGCTTTTATACGAAGAGTATGAAAGGTATCACGTGACAAAAAATAAGAAATAATGTAAGAAAAACAATGTAAGAAATAAAAGTAATGAATAGATAAATGTTGTCAATGTCTGCTATAGACAGGCAAGGACAGATGAAATTAAACATAGGAAAAGCGTTCATTAATACCAGAAGGATGAACAGTGCCATGTTTGGATATGAGGCGCATTTCATGTAGTTTGCGGCTATCGTAGATTCCAGAAATGGGACAGAGGGCTCGAATTAACATATCTGAAACACTGTGATTGCCATTATTAAAATGTCTGCCAACAGGTTGGTTAGCATCATTGCCAATAACTGCACGCCGATGCTCACGAAACCTTGTCCTTAAACATCTTCCAGCCACCCCAATGTAAAGCATGCCACATCTGCTGCATGAGATGCAGTAGATGAAATGGGAGGAGGCGCACGTAAAATGGTGCTTGATGTGATATTCAGATTTAGGCGATTCGAAACAACAGTGGAAGAATCTACAAAGTCACAGATTTTACATTTCGACGACCGGCAAGAAAAAGTGCCTTTCTGTGACGTATAGAAATTAACCTATTGTTGTCAATAAGCGTGAGACGTTATGCTCCTCTATGTAATTAAAATGCCAAATGTAAAAACATATCTTATCTGTATGGACATACAGTAACCTTATCTGTATGTTGATTCAAGTCTTTAGGCAACGAAAATCGAAAAGGATTACTAAGTGATCTTCCACACGTGCCACTCCAAGATGAAAAAAAAAAATTAGGACATTTAAACGTAAATCAGGACAAAAATTTAGACGTAAATCAGGACAAAGCACAGATACCCTGGTCCAGGCTGGTCACGTGTCTCCCAGATTTTGGGAGAAAACAATTTTTTTACATGAGGGTGGGGGGCTAAGTTTGTTTTACCAAGCATGTAATCTTGTAGGATTCTGCCTTTTGTTGTTGATATACATGTATGTATTATACAACCAAACCCGATACTGTGTCTTTGAGTGAGCTTCGAGAAGAACATCTATAACGTTGCCAGCCAGGCTTGATTAACAACTTCGTCCCTTACAATAACCGTTATGCCAATAAAAACTTCGTTTCATAGTGTAATCGTTTGTGTTTCTTTATTCACACTCCTTGTATTGTTTTGAACTCGAGCGCCACATTTGCAAGTCCCAATTGTTATCTCCCAAAATCTGGGAGACACGTGACCAGCCTGGACCAGGCTCTTTCCTCCAGCGAGGCGCGTAGTGGAAAGAGCCTGGGTAATAGGTTGCAGATAACTAAGAGTTTTAATTGCCGGTGTACCCAGACGTTTAGCCTAAAGCAGCCATGCATGCGCACTTTTCAAAAGCATTTCCACGCATTCGTATATTAGTTTTGATAAGTTAACTGTCCCACAATAATAAGAATAATCATGCCGTGCCTAAATTTAAGCCGAGCATCTGTTGATTCAATTCTTTAGGCAACGAAAATCGTGAAGTAGTAAGTGATCTTCCACACGTGCCACCCCAAGATGAGCAAGATGTGGCAATGACAAGTAAGTAACATATTGTTAAATTCATTACCTAAACAATACGGCATTGTTAATAATAAATCCTGGTAGGCAAAATATTGCCGTTGATATTTCCAAGTTCGGTGGTAATGTTTTTGGCATCTAAATGACATTGGGTTAATTTCAAGATGCTTCAGCATAATAATGTATAAAAAACAGTGGCGAAGCCAGCCCGACAATTTGGTCATGCTATCCAAATTTTAAATCATTATCATTATTAATTTCTTTACAAATTGATTGTTTCCACGTCGTATGAACACGGAAATATTTGCATAGCATGACCAAATTGTCGGGCTGGCTTCGCCACTGATAAAAAAGAGCGATATTCTTCTTCGAGGGTAGTACCGGCGGCAATTGCCTTTTGCTGCCGAGAACTAACAGGACTGTATTATTTGCATAAAACACATTCGATTAACAAGAAGAATTCAACCTGAGAGTAGAATATGTGCAGTAACACCTCTATAAAACGCGGATCAAACGAGATGCAAGTCATCGCAAGTTTAAACTTCTGAGACACGCAGGCTGTCCAAAATTAGATGTAGCGGAAGCCAATTTGGGTTACCGCAAAACCACGTTGGTGGTAACCGGGTTTCCACAATTTTTTTAAGGAAATTTCAGGGGTAAAAGTAGAAGTACTACCTCTAAATTCCATTAAAAGTTTAAATGAAATTGGCGAAGTTATTGTAAAATCTCTTGAGGGAAACCAGATTAGGTTACCGCAAAACTACATTTGTGGTAACGCACCGGTAACCCAGGTTTCGTTACCGCAATTTTTGACAGCCAGAATGGAAACGAGGAATGCATGGGTGGTAAAATACATGAATTGAGGAAAAGAGTTGATAAAAACAGATAACGTAAAATATTCATGTTTCGCTGTATATACAAAATACATCAATCACTTTCTACATGAGACATTGTCTATTTAACTTTCTTATTTTCATCATCAAATTATTCATTCCCTCTTTTCTATGTCTAAGAAATTTAAAACTGACGACGACTTGCGATGATTTGTGTCTCCTTTGATCCGGACTTAAGACACTGTTACACAAGACTACAGAATGTATAAACATTATACAGTAACCTTACCTGTATGTTGATTCAATTCTTTAGGCAACGAAAATTGTGAAGAAGTAAGTGATCTTCAACGTGCCACTCCAAGATGAGCAAGATGTGCCATGACAAGTAAGCAACATATTGTTAAATTCATACCCGATTACCTAAACATGCCTTTTGTTGTTGATATACATGTATGTATTATACAACCAAACCCGATACTGTGTCTTTGAGTGAGCTTCGAGAAGAACATCTATAACGTTGCCAGCCAGGCTTGATTAACAACTTCGTCCCTTACAATAACCGTTATGCCAATAAAAACTTCGTTTCATAGTGTAATCGTTTGTGTTGCTTTATTCACACTCCTTGTATTGTTTTGAACTCGAGCGCCACATTTGCAAGTCCCAATTGTTATCTCCCAAAATCTGGGAGACACGTGACCAGCCTGGACCAGGCTCTTTCCTCCAGCGAGGCGCGTAGTGGAAAGAGCCTGGGTAATAGGTTGCAGATAACTAAGAGTTTTAATTGCCGGTGTACCCAGACGTTTAGCCTAAAGCAGCCATGCATGCGCACTTTTCAAAAGCATTTCCACGCATTCGTATATTAGTTTTGATAAGTTAACTGTCCCACAATAATAAGAATAATCATGCCGTGCCTAAATTTAAGCCGAGCATCTGTTGATTCAATTCTTTAGGCAACGAAAATCGTGAAGTAGTAAGTGATCTTCCACACGTGCCACCCCAAGATGAGCAAGATGTGGCAATGACAAGTAAGTAACATATTGTTAAATTCATTACCTAAACAATACGGCATTGTTAATAATAAATCCTGGTAGGCAAAATATTGCCGTTGATATTTCCAAGTTCGGTGGTAATTTTTTTGGCATCTAAATGACATTGACTTAATTTGAAGATGCATTAGCATAATAATGTATAAAAAAGAGCGATATTCTTCTTCGAGGGTAGTACCGGCGGCAATTGCCTTTTGCTGCCGAAAACTACCAGGACTGTATTATTTGCATAAAACACATTCGATTAACAAGAAGAATTCAACCTGAGAGTAGAATATGTGCAGTAACACCTCTATAAAACGCGGATCAAACGAGATGCAAGTCATCGCAAGTTTAAACTTCTGAGACACGCAGGCTGTCCAAAATTAGATGTAGCGGAAGCCAATTTGGGTTACCGCAAAACCACGTTGGTGGTAACCGGGTTTCCACAATTTTTTTAAGGAAACTTCAGGGGTAAAAGTAGAAGTACTACCTCTAAATTCCATTAAAAGTTTAAATGAAATTGGCGAAGTTATTGTAAAATCTCTTGAGGGAAACCAGATTAGGTTACCGCAAAACTACATTTGTGGTAACGCACCGGTAACCCAGGTTTCGTTACCGCAATTTTTGACAGCCAGAATGGAAACGAGGAATGCATGGGTGGTAAAATACATGAATTGAGGAAAAGAGTTGATAAAAACATATAACGTAAAATATTCATGTTTCGCTGTATATACAAAATACATCAATCACTTTCTACATGAGACATTGTCTATTTAACTTTCTTATTTTCATCATCAAATTATTCATTCCCTCTTTTCTATGTCTAAGAAATTTAAAACTGACGACGACTTGCGATGATTTGTGTCTCCTTTGATCCGGACTTAAGACACTGTTACACAAGACTACAGAATGTATAAACATTATACAGTAACCTTACCTGTATGTTGATTCAATTCTTTAGGCAACGAAAATTGTGAAGAAGTAAGTGATCTTCCAACCGTGCCACTCCAAGATGAGCAAGATGTGCCACTGACAAGTAAGCAACATATTGTTAAATTCATTACCGCCATGATTACCTAAACAATATACGGTACAGTTATTAACAAGCACGATCGCACAATACTGGACCAGGAACTGGCCGTGTATACAAACGGGGCGTAAATCAGGACAAAGCACAGATACCCTGGTCCAGGCTGGTCACGTGTCTCCCAGATTTTGGGAGAAAACAATTTTTTTACATGAGGGTGGGGGGCTAAGTTTGTTTTACCAAGCATGTAATCTTGTAGGATTCTGCCTTTTGTTGTTGATATACATGTATGTATTATACAACCAAACCCGATACTGTGTCTTTGAGTGAGCTTCGAGAAGAACATCTATAACGTTGCCAGCCAGGCTTGATTAACAACTTCGTCCCTTACAATAACCGTTATGCCAATAAAAACTTCGTTTCATAGTGTAATCGTTTGTGTTGCTTTATTCACACTCCTTGTATTGTTTTGAACTCGAGCGCCACATTTGCAAGTCCCAATTGTTATCTCCCAAAATCTGGGAGACACGTGACCAGCCTGGACCAGGCTCTTTCCTCCAGCGAGGCGCGTAGTGGAAAGAGCCTGGGTAATAGGTTGCAGATAACTAAGAGTTTTAATTGCCGGTGTACCCAGACGTTTAGCCTAAAGCAGCCATGCATGCGCACTTTTCAAAAGCATTTCCACGCATTCGTATATTAGTTTTGATAAGTTAACTGTCCCACAATAATAAGAATAATCATGCCGTGCCTAAATTTAAGCCGAGCATCTGTTGATTCAATTCTTTAGGCAACGAAAATCGTGAAGTAGTAAGTGATCTTCCACACGTGCCACCCCAAGATGAGCAAGATGTGGCAATGACAAGTAAGTAACATATTGTTAAATTCATTACCTAAACAATACGGCATTGTTAATAATAAATCCTGGTAGGCAAAATATTGCCGTTGATATTTCCAAGTTCGGTGGTAATGTTTTTGGCATCTAAATGACATTGGGTTAATTTCAAGATGCTTCAGCATAATAATGTATAAAAAACAGTGGCGAAGCCAGCCCGACAATTTGGTCATGCTATGCAAATTTTAAATCATTATCATTATTAATTTCTTTACAAATTGATTGTTTCCACGTCGTATGAACACGGAAATATTTGCATAGCATGACCAAATTGTCGGGCTGGCTTCGCCACTGATAAAAAAGAGCGATATTCTTCTTCGAGGGTAGTACCGGCGGCAATTGCCTTTTGCTGCCGAAAACTACCAGGACTGTATTATTTGCATAAAACACATTCGATTAACAAGAAGAATTCAACCTGAGAGTAGAATATGTGCAGTAACACCTCTATAAAACGCGGATCAAACGAGATGCAAGTCATCGCAAGTTTAAACTTCTGAGACACGCAGGCTGTCCAAAATTAGATGTAGCGGAAGCCAATTTGGGTTACCGCAAAACCACGTTGGTGGTAATCGGGTTTCCACAATTTTTTTAAGGAAACTTCAGGGGTAAAAGTAGAAGTACTACCTCTAAATTCCATTAAAAGTTTAAATGAAATTGGCGAAGTTATTGTAAAATCTCTTGAGGGAAACCAGATTAGGTTACCGCAAAACTACATTTGTGGTAACGCACCGGTAACCCAGGTTTCGTTACCGCAATTTTTGACAGCCAGAATGGAAACGAGGAATGCATGGGTGGTAAAATACATGAATTGAGGAAAAGAGTTGATAAAAACAGATAACGTAAAATATTCATGTTTCGCTGTATATACAAAATACATCAATCACTTTCTACATGAGACATTGTCTATTTAACTTTCTTATTTTCATCATCAAATTATTCATTCCCTCTTTTCTATGTCTAAGAAATTTAAAACTGACGACGACTTGCGATGATTTGTGTCTCCTTTGATCCGGACTTAAGACACTGTTACACAAGACTACAGAATGTATAAACATTATACAGTAACCTTACCTGTATGTTGATTCAATTCTTTAGGCAACGAAAATTGTGAAGAAGTAAGTGATCTTACAATCGTGCCACTCCAAGATGAGCAAGATGTGCCATTGACAAGTAAGCAACATATTGTTAAATTCATTACCACCGCGATTACCTAAACAATATGGTACAGTTATTAACAAGTACGATCGTACTATACTGGACCAGGAACTGGCCGCGTATACATGCAAACGGGATGTAAATCAGGACAAAGCATAGCTGACATATTTGCTGAATATTAATGATATGTACATATTATCTGCTACGAATACAGTCAAGAATTGCTTGTATCTTGCTTCAAAAATAAAAAATCGAACACCGTCAATCCATGCGGAATATTGCTTAGCATCATTGTGTAATGTTTCACCCCGATCGCGGACAAGTAATGCAGTAACACCCTAATAAAGCCTGGATCAAACGAGACCCAAGTCATCGCAAAGAGGATGGATGAAATGTGGAAAGGAGTCAATTTGATAAAAACATATCACGTAAAATATTCATGTCTCGCTGTATATACAAAATACATCAATCACTTTCTACATGAGACATTGTCTATTTAACTTTCTTATTTTCATCATCAAATTATTCATTCCCTCTTTTCTATGTCTAAGAAATTTAAAACTGACGACGACTTGCGATGATTTGTGTCTCCTTTGATCCGGACTTAAGACACTGTTACACAAGACTACAGAATGTATAAACATTATACAGTAACCTTACCTGTATGTTGATTCAATTCTTTAGGCAACGAAAATTGTGAAGAAGTAAGTGATCTTACAATCGTGCCACTCCAAGATGAGCAAGATGTGCCATTGACAAGTAAGCAACATATTGTTAAATTCATAACCACAGCGATTACCTAAACAATATACGGTACAGTTATTAACAAGCACGATCGTACAATACTGGACCAGGAACTGGCCGCGTACACAAACCAGGCGTAAATCAGGACAAAGCACAGATAACTAATGCCTGGTTCACACTGGTCGTAAGAATCGGGGATTTCCATTGTCTGTGGTCATTGGTGTGCAAAATGCTTTGTCTGTCCGAAAAGAATACAATAGAATGCCGATGAATTACGACCAGTGTGAACCAGGCTTATAATAATTTTAATTGCCGATGTACCCAGACGTTTGGCCTAAAGCAGCCATGCATGCGCACTTTTCAAAAGCATTTCCACGCATTCGTATGTTAGTTTGGATAAGTAAAGTGTCCCATAACAATAAGAATAATCATGCCGTGCCTAAATTTAAGCCGAGCATCAAACCTTGCCGTGGCATTGCAAAATATTGCAGCTACAATAGTGTACGTGCCGCGTAAATGGGGTTTAAGACGTCAAGGTAATAAATAATCTAAATTGCTACGTTAATTTTGCGGTGTGCCACTTCATTTCTGCTTAGTCGTGGGTTCAAAACAGTGCTAACAACAAATTGACATGTCTTTGTTTTACGGTTCGCGATTGTATATGAATGTTATACAGAAGAGTGTCCCAGAAAAGTCCCTTTTGAAAGTATTGTTGTTAATCACAAGATTTTATGCCCCTCCGTGTAATTAAAAATTCAATTCAATACACCCTTTCGATAATTACGTCACGAATGGGAGCTTCGCTTCATTAGTAAAAGATGCAAGGCGATTGGCTGATGATTCATGAGAGCGAGGTTCCCAGGCCAAATAACGTAATTATCGAAAGGGTATATTGTGTTTCCGCTCCTGCCGGTTTAGCATAGTGTTGAAGCATTTCAAATAAGTTTAATTTTTAAAGTGACCTGAAATCGACAATAAGACACTGTTACACAAGACTACAGAATGTATAAACATTATACACTAACCTTATCTGTATGTTGATTCAATTCTTTAGGCAACGAAAATTGTGAAGAATTAGTAAGTGATCTTCCACACGTGCCACTCGAAGATGAGCAAGATGTGCCATTGACAAGTAAGCAACATATTGTTAAATTCATTACCACCGCGATTACCTAAACAATATGGTACAGTTATTAACAAGTACGATCGTACTATACTGGACCAGGAACTGGCCGCGTATACATGCAAACGGGATGTAAATTAGGACAAAGCATAGCTGACATATTTGCTGAATATTAATGATATGTACATATTATCTGCTACGAATACAGTCAAGAATTGCTTGTATCTTGCTTCAAAAATAAAAAATCGAACACCGTCAATCCATGCGGAATATTGCTTAGCATCATTGTGTAATGTTTCACCCCGATCGCGGACAAGTAATGCAGTAACACCCTAATAAAGCCTGGATCAAACGAGACCCAAGTCATCGCAAAGAGGATGGATGAAATGTGGAAAGGAGTCAATTTGATAAAAACATATCACATAAAATATTCATGTCTCGCTGTATATACAAAATACATCAATCACTTTCTACATGAGACATTGTCTATTTAACTTTCTTATTTTCATCATCAAATTATTCATTCCCTCTTTTCTATGTCTAAGAAGTTTAAAACTGACGACGACTTGCGATGATTTGTGTCTCCTTTGATCCGGACTTAAGACACTGTTACACAAGACTACAGAATGTATAAACATTACACAGTAACCTTACCTGTATGTTGATTCAATTCTTTAGGCAACGAAAATTGTGAAGAAGTAAGTGATCTTCCAACCGTGCCACTCCAAGATGAGCAAGATGTGCCACTGACAAGTAAGCAACATATTGTTAAATTCATTACCGCCATGATTACCTAAACAATATACGGTACAGTTATTAACAAGCACGATCGCACAATACTGGACCAGGAACTGGCCGCGTATACAAACGGGGCGTAAATCAGGACAAAGCACAGATACCCTGGTCCAGGCTGGTCACGTGTCTCCCAGATTTTGGGAGAAAACAATTTTTTTACATGAGGGTGGGGGGCTAAGTTTGTTTTACCAAGCATGTAATCTTGTAGGATTCTGCCTTTTGTTGTTGATATACATGTATGTATTATACAACCAAACCCGATACTGTGTCTTTGAGTGAGCTTCGAGAAGGACATCTATAACGTTGCCAGCCAGGCTTGATTAACAACTTCGTCCCTTACAATAACCGTTATGCCAATAAAAACTTCGTTTCATAGTGTAATCGTTTGTGTTGCTTTATTCACACTCCTTGTATTGTTTTGAACTCGAGCGCCACATTTGCAAGTCCCAATTGTTATCTCCCAAAATCTGGGAGACACGTGACCAGCCTGGACCAGGCTCTTTCCTCCAGCGAGGCGCGTAGTGGAAAGAGCCTGGGTAATAGGTTGCAGATAACTAAGAGTTTTAATTGCCGGTGTACCCAGACGTTTAGCCTAAAGCAGCCATGCATGCGCACTTTTCAAAAGCATTTCCACGCATTCGTATATTAGTTTTGATAAGTTAACTGTCCCACAATAATAAGAATAATCATGCCGTGCCTAAATTTAAGCCGAGCATCTGTTGATTCAATTCTTTAGGCAACGAAAATCGTGAAGTAGTAAGTGATCTTCCACACGTGCCACCCCAAGATGAGCAAGATGTGGCAATGACAAGTAAGTAACATATTGTTAAATTCATTACCTAAACAATACGGCATTGTTAATAATAAATCCTGGTAGGCAAAATATTGCCGTTGATATTTCCAAGTTCGGTGGTAATGTTTTTGGCATCTAAATGACATTGGGTTAATTTCAAGATGCTTCAGCATAATAATGTATAAAAAACAGTGGCGAAGCCAGCCCGACAATTTGGTCATGCTATGCAAATTTTAAATCATTATCATTATTAATTTCTTTACAAATTGATTGTTTCCACGTCGTATGAACACGGAAATATTTGCATAGCATGACCAAATTGTCGGGCTGGCTTCGCCACTGATAAAAAAGAGCGATATTCTTCTTCGAGGGTAGTACCGGCGGCAATTGCCTTTTGCTGCCGAGAACTAACAGGACTGTATTATTTGCATAAAACACATTCGATTAACAAGAAGAATTCAACCTGAGAGTAGAATATGTGCAGTAACACCTCTATAAAACGCGGATCAAACGAGATGCAAGTCATCGCAAGTTTAAACTTCTGAGACACGCAGGCTGTCCAAAATTAGATGTAGCGGAAGCCAATTTGGGTTACCGCAAAACCACGTTGGTGGTAACCGGGTTTCCACAATTTTTTTAAGGAAACTTCAGGGGTAAAAGTAGAAGTACTACCTCTAAATTCCATTAAAAGTTTAAATGAAATTGGCGAAGTTATTGTAAAATCTCTTGAGGGAAACCAGATTAGGTTACCGCAAAACTACATTTGTGGTAACGCACCGGTAACCCAGGTTTCGTTACCGCAATTTTTGACAGCCAGAATGGAAACGAGGAATGCATGGGTGGTAAAATACATGAATTGAGGAAAAGAGTTGATAAAAACATATAACGTAAAATATTCATGTTTCGCTGTATATACAAAATACATCAATCACTTTCTACATGAGACATTGTCTATTTAACTTTCTTATTTTCATCATCAAATTATTCATTCCCTCTTTTCTATGTCTAAGAAATTTAAAACTGACGACGACTTGCGATGATTTGTGTCTCCTTTGATCCGGACTTAAGACACTGTTACACAAGACTACAGAATGTATAAACATTATACAGTAACCTTACCTGTATGTTGATTCAATTCTTTAGGCAACGAAAATTGTGAAGAAGTAAGTGATCTTCCACACGTGCCACTCCAAGATGAGCAAGATGTGCCATTGACAAGTAAGCAACATATTGTTAAATTCATTACCACCGCGATTACCTAAACAATATGGTACAGTTATTAACAAGTACGATCGTACTATACTGGACCAGGAACTGGCCGCGTATACATGCAAACGGGATGTAAATCAGGACAAAGCATAGCTGACATATTTGCTGAATATTAATGATATGTACATATTATCTGCTACGAATACAGTCAAGAATTGCTTGTATCTTGCTTCAAAAATAAAAAATCGAACACCGTCAATCCATGCGGAATATTGCTTAGCATCATTGTGTAATGTTTCACCCCGATCGCGGACAAGTAATGCAGTAACACCCTAATAAAGCCTGGATCAAACGAGACCCAAGTCATCGCAAAGAGGATGGATGAAATGTGGAAAGGAGTCAATTTGATAAAAACATATCACGTAAAATATTCATGTCTCGCTGTATATACAAAATACATCAATCACTTTCTACATGAGACATTGTCTATTTAACTTTCTTATTTTCATCATCAAATTATTCATTCCCTCTTTTCTATGTCTAAGAAATTTAAAACTGACGACGACTTGCGATGATTTGTGTCTCCTTTGATCCGGACTTAAGACACTGTTACACAAGACTACAGAATGTATAAACATTATACACTAACCTTATCTGTATGTTGATTCAATTCTTTAGGCAACGAAAATTGTGAAAAATTAGTAAGTGATCTTCCACACGTGCCACTCCAAGATGAGCAAGATGTGCCATTGACAAGTAAGCAACATATTGTTAAATTCATTACCGCCATGATTACCTAAACAATATACGGTACAGTTATTAACAAGCACGATCGCACAATACTGGACCAGGAACTGGCCGCGTATACAAACGGGGCGTAAATCAGGACAAAGCACCATCTTTCTTATGGTTTGCGTTGCCTGACATATTTGCTGAATATTAATGATATGTACATTGTATCTTGCTTCTTAGGTAAAAAAAGATTTTCCGACATTAAGCGGGATCCACTTCAAATTGCGAGAGAGAAAATAAAATATTTAAAAGGTCAGAACAAATAGCATTCAAAAAGTATCTGACAATGCATGATCAGCATTGACGTGCTGGTAATGTGTTACCGGGAGTAATCAATTGCAACGTCCCCATCCCACACCGTTGATCGTGGCACGCGGGTAAAGTAAAAATGCCCAAATTTCCAATAAAATCAAATAAATGACTTATGATTGCAATTTTATATGCCGGAAAAATTTTTGATGACCTCCCCCCTCGACAACTCTTCCAGGAAAATTTTTAGAGTACAAAAATATCTTTTCCTGCATTGCATTTGAGGTTTTGACAGGGTAATTCAGGCCGACCACCCCCAACTAAGAGTAAAAGGGGCCAGTTTCGCCCCTGGCTGGCGCCCACGTGCACGGCGAGAAAATCGACAAACGCACGTCAGTAACATAATTCAAATATTTAAAAAACAGAATTTTTCCATTTTAGCAAAATTACGAAAGAAACGAGGATATTCTTCTTCAGATGGAAATTCTTCTGATGATGAAGATTCCAGTGGTAAATATCCCTGAATAGCATGCTTATGAATTGATGAACAAGCATAGAGACACAGAATAGGGTACACAGAAGGCCAACTTATTGGTTTTCCTATGATTTTCCTATGATTTTGGCGTAACCTGTAATTCGTCATCAAATGCTGACGCCATGGTTCTAGCCAGTGCACATGTGCCATTCAAAATGGCGGATGTCCAGGGGGGAATGCCTCTCAAACGCGCACTGGCTAGGACCATGGCGTCAGCATTTTGATGATGAATCATGGCATGGCAGCGGTTACTCGAGTCGCCCTTCTGTGTGCCTTATTCTGTGATAAAGATAAACTTAATAAGGTTTGATAAGATAGCTGAAATTCACTCTGCAATCTTTTCAATAAAATAATGTCCTATAAAAAGAACAATATATAATGAACAAATTTTTGTTTTAAATAGATTCATCAAGTTTATCTGACTTATGGCAATTGACTCGGAAGAAGAAACACCGGCATGTAAGCAATAAGCATACTGCACACTAATTGCAAATTGTAGAGTACTACACTGAATACTGATTGTATCTACAGTGAATAATTATTGTATCTTTCACAACGTTCCGACATTCATTGTTTGGTCACATTGGAGAGTCATTCGACATGAACTCATATTTTGGCAATTTTGCTGATGAAAAGTTCGACGTATTAACAAGTCTTAATTCAGACGTACAGTACGATCAACTCTTTGTTGATAAAATATTCCAAACAACGTCGATATGAAATGGAAAAACACTCTGCTAAATACGTCGCATTGTGGTCGTCGTTATCACTTATGCCTCATGAATACCTGCACTATATAGGAGACATCGGCCATAACATGTGCAAGTGGGTGTATTATTGATATATCGTAAATAATGACGCTCAACAAAGGATATACAGCATTCTAAGACTATATAACGAAGTAAACGCCTTTAGCTATAGAATATGTACAAGCTAAGTGAATTAATTTGCAACCGGATGTACAACCAGCTGAAAGACGTTATACTTCGTTATGAGAGTCTTAGAATGCTATCCTTTGTTAAGAGACATTACAATATTATCTATATTTTAGGTATATTTCTTCAATTATATACCCCTGGCACATAATATGGCTTAAAAATGCAAAGAGAGAAGAATTTTGTTTTATATATAATATTATATATATTATATTTATGTATGTTTTATTTAGAGAAAGGCGTTGTGGGTGGATGACCTCTATTCCGACGAAGATGATGAAATAGCAACAGCAGTAAGTATAACAATACATACCACTTGACATCACGTTCGCAATACAGATTTCAGTAATGTTGACGCATGCGCGGACGTTTTCCCGCGGTGTTATACTCTGCAGTTTTAATGTCTGACCACAATGGGTGCGCAAACACAATTGACCGCAGGAGCATGTTAAATTCTCGTGTTAAATTAACAACAATTTATTTTTAGGTTAATTTCCAAATGTCGATACTCTGTATATCAGTCCAGTAGCTATACTCACTCTGATACACTAGGCGGAAATTTTAGTTTGAAAATGAATACCAGAGCCCAGCAAATAACTTTAATACCACGTATGTGTGGCATTAAAATTATTTGCTGAGCTCTCTTACACGTTTATAAACTTTGTACAGTTATGTCTCGGAACTATGCAAGATATGACAAATCGGTAAAAGAAGTTAATATATAGTTTAATACAGCATTCAAATTGAACAAGTGATGAGATCAATTCCAGTTTTATATAATTTTATTCCTATACATTATGAATGATTTCTTATATTCGTGTACGAAATTTGAGTTTAGCAGACATGAAAAAATGCCGAAAAGTATACGGTACAGTATTGCAGTAGTCAAATAGTCCTGCATGTTATGAAATATCAAAACACCAATTAATTTTTGTATTAGGATGTACTAATGTTAAAGGACAAAGAGAGCAACGCTCAAGCTCCAAATGATGAAGGTAGGCATGAGAACGATTATACGAGTTCAGATTTATATTTTTGTCAATTGTCGGTTATCCGATTGTCCTTGTTATCTTGCAATCAGGGTTGCCAGATTGGCTTAAAAATTCAGCTAAATATTGACACAAACAGCCTTTTGTTTTCTTGTTTGTCCGACAGGAAACCATATAACCGAGACGACAATAGCTCAGACCGGTCTGAAGTCATCCCACAAGCTATCTGAGATTGGGATGAATGTAAATGTAGGAGGAGAGGGTGAGTAAGTGCTAGGCTCTGGCTAACAGTTATTACAACACAAACACAACCCCAGCCATGAATCGGAGACTTGTTAGATTAAATATGACATGCTACTCGAATCAGTTATTAATTAATTATTATATAAATACCGATATTTTACAGTCCCACTAAGAAAGGACGGAAAAGTCATTGGACGTGGCAAAATCATGCCCGATGCAAAAATGGTGCATGGTTACCAGTTAATAGATGGTTGGGTTTCGGTGGAGATTATACAATTGTATAACGAATCTGTGGAATGCTGGGAGGACTTCCCCACAATGTCCGGCGAAGTTGAAGTGGGGAGCTTCTGTGCATGGCCAACCAACGAACTGGACATGCCAAATTCAGGTAGGGGGCATTTTTACTTTCAATAATGCAGTAAAGTGTTAATTTGTAGTGTTGTTCACAAATCTGCCCTGTAATTCTGTTCCCAATGTCACCTCAGAGCCGGTTCCAATTGATATCACCCCAGGCCTAAGCTTGGTGTGTGTTTGGCTCTTTTTTGTTTCATCTGCGAAATGTCAACTTAATAATTTTCAGCGACTTTAGCGACCGATGGTTAACCGGCTTTCTATCCAATTTAACGTGCAAACACCCTTCCCAGAGCTATCTGCTGGTGCTTTTTTGTTCAAGTGAGGGTATCGTATAGATTGATGTAATAAAAATTACCGTGTGTTGTTGACTCGTCACTCTTGTTTTCAATATAGACGTAGCTGATATGTCTACCAAACGGCTACAAAGACAGGCAAAGAAGAAAACATTGTTTGTGAATGTAAGGTTTTTTGTAATTAATTTGAATGCATTTCAGTTTTATAGAAAGTAGGGTCACTTGAATCAAGATATTTTTTCATTTATGACGACGAACATCTTTTTACGCGTCAAGAATTAAATTAACGTGAAATATTCAGGATCTACATTTTACCATGCATATACACCGTGACCGTGCATGTAGAAAAAAAGATATGAATTTTATACAGTTTATATATATTAGAGCTGTGCGGTTAACCGAAAAATTCGGTTCTTCCGGTACTTGTTTTAGCACCAAAAAATTATACGCAAAAAAGAACCGGTAATTTAGATTTTAATTTCCCGTTTAACGCCCGCCAAACGCCCACCTAATTGCAGGTTGAAATGTTTGGAAAATAACAAGATTGTGCTCTTTGTGCACAATATGCACTGTACTAAATGCTCAAATAGTTTATATTTACTTTAGTTGTGATAGTTATTGTTGTGAACTTGCTTGAAATTTTTTTAAAAATTTCAATATTTCATCTTCATAAATAAATTCCAATTGTTCTTTTAAAATATTCAGAGATTTATACAAACTCACAAAGGCATAAATTCATCTATTTAGTAGAAATACTCGAAACATACATAAATGAGTTCATACATTTGTACTGTTCTTCTTTTTTGAAAATAACCGAAACCGAACCGAGGTTTTTCTGTTCCAAAAACCCGAAACCGGAACCGGAACCGAAATAAAATTTTTGGAACCGCACAGCTCTAATATATATAAGAATTTCATAATAAATGTATGTGTTTTAGGAAAAGACATTCTGGCACGGTGACCATGTAAACAGCGACGAAGATCGTGGGTGCACAGATGGTCAAATAGATGTAAGTTGGGCAAATCAAGCAATTCAAATACGTTTCAATTGTCGATTCAATGGCAAGTTTGAGAGCACCCTGCTTGTCCATAATATAATGGTTGAACATCGCAGCAGATTTTATAGGCAAAAGTCGCAAAATTGAACATTGAATCCCCCCCATTGTATAGCAGTTTCAATTTGTTATTAACAGTTTCAACATTGTGTTGAAGGAGAGGGAAATTATGAATTCGAGTTTTTGAAACCCAAACTTTTGAATGTTGTTTTAAGTCATTCTGCACTCGATTGTAGATTCAGAAGACTGAACGTTAAAAATAGAAAGAAATATTGCCATACATACCCGAGTTTTTCTAAAAACCACAATCGCTTTTGCATTCCTAGTTCCCTAAAATTTAAAAATTTTAATATTACATGTTGATCATAAAGCCTACTTTGAATATTTGAGAACATGTATGGAAGAAAGCATGCATGCGTGCGCCTAAAATTTCAATATTTCGTTCATTCCACCTGGTAATAACTTGAAGCTCCACCTTTGCCCCCCGTTATGGACATACAGAAGCATCCATACCCGACATCTCGACAATACAAAGTCACAAAGACAATAAATATATCAGCACAAAAGACTATAGGTCGAGTGAAATCTTGAGAAATCTTAGCATGCCAAGAATTATTATATTGTGCTATACAATATTAAGTAGAAAGCGTTATGCATGGAAACTCATGCATATCGTTTATCCTTCGATTACTAAATTTGTTTTTTAAACTAAATATTCACAATTACAGTTATAATATAGGTACATAATATACTAAGATATAATTCAGTTACGATTCCAATTCTATATACGACTACATGCTACAAGTATATGTTTCAAGTATAGGACAAAACGAATGTGGGACATTCATATTTTAATGTTTGGCCGTGGTATATTCAGTGAATAAAAGAGTTTAAGTGCATGAAAGACATCTTTATTACGCCCAGAAATATGGGAACAAAAATTGATGAGAAAAATGAGAACAATTATCGCAGTAAAATAGATACGTAGGCGTACATGCGTAGCGTACATGTAGTGAGATGAAATCAAACAAACATTTGAAATATTACAAAACAAAATATCTTTGTGAGTTCGACTGGACATTGCATGCAATGTATTTAACCTGCAGAAATGTTAATACTCCTGTAAGCATTGTTAAACGACCCTTTATTGGTAATTTCTTTCTCGTCTACGGGATCTTCGGGTCGTTAGAGGGACAGCTATTTTATGTACATTATATTTTTACCTCTAGATGTTTAAGTAAAATACATAAGGTGTCCTAACATAAATTCAAAACATTCAAGTTTACGTCAAAATGTGTACAATATCAAAAATTCAAAGTATAAATATATGTACTGTATATATACCGGGTGTGACGGGTGTCCCCCAAAAAACTATCCCCTGTTTGATTTCATGTAACGTAAAACCTATAAAAGCTATTTATAAAAACCATTGACATTGTATACACAAAGGATCAACTTAAATTTTTATATGTAACATTTAATTTTTCGTGCAATATTGAGAGAAATACAAGCGTTTGAAGTTGCGAGGAGTTTTAGAAATTGGCGAAAAAACGACAAAAATCGCTGCATCAAACTAAATTGAAAGCAGTTGTCACTTTACATGCATGATTACTTGACTAGCTAACTAGCTAACTTCAGTGATTTTATCTTTAATTTTAGGTTATCCCTTGCAAAATTACTTTTAAAAATAAAAATTACACTTAAAGATTGATTCTTAGGAATAAAACAAATGGTATTCAGCAGTCAAGGAATCTTAGAAAATTGCATGAATCAAGCGTTTCTGCTTGCAAGTATTAGGATCAATAAATGATCCAAAACGCAAAACGCTTTTGATGGCATGATTTCTAGAGCACAATCTATGGTGCATTCAGGCTCAAAGACACGCTTTTCCTGATAAGTTAACTCATATTAGTTAATCCTTTTGTACATTATAAATGCATTCTTTTAGCTAGAATAAAAATAATCATCAAGTAAACTAAACTGGAATTTGATATGCTGTTTTATGCTAATTTTTTGCCTTTTAAGAAATAGTATTTCAAGTTTGAAATGTCAATAGGTCTGTCAATATCGGGCGGAAAATTAAATGTTATATATCAAAATTTAAGTTAATCTTTTGTGTATACAATGTCAAAGGTTTTTGTTTTAGTGAAATAGCTAAATTTATAGGTTTTATGTTACATGAAATCAAAGAGGAGATAGTTTTTGGGGGGACACCCGGATATATATTCCTAGGATCTCAACATAAACACCAAGATGATAGCTGAAATATGGCTAAAACACATACCTTATTTTCTAGGATAAAAGTAAAAAATTGGTTGGTGCCAACGCCGAAAACTCAAACAAACAAGGTATATATATTTGATACACTAATATTACAATTTATAGCAATGATAATAATAGATTAATAAATTATATGCATGATAATTTATTTGAAAACTCAATAACATTTTTACTCTTATTACTCCACATGTATAAGTGTGGCGCACGTATAAGATTCAACACAATTTTGGGAAGTCCAAGGAATAAATACTATATATGACATAACGTTGTTTAATATCTTAATTCTAGACTAGCCCAGCGGCAATGCGTCAGTGCAATTTATAAATTAACAATAACCGGACCAGTACTGTTTTCTATTTTCGAAACCCTTGTATTGCTTAAAATTTCTTGCTTCGAACGAGTTACACAGGATTGAAATTTGCTCAACTTAGACATATCACAAGCTTCATATATTCATTTCGCCCACAAATATACTTTTCTGCTTCTAAATGTTACGAACATAATAACCAATGCTTGCTTTGAAAGATATGCTTTAATCCATACAATTAATGTAGAAAATACAATGATAAAATACAGTGGCGTGAAGGTCACTCAAAATCTACTGTACATGTTTTTGGATACAAAGAACAAATTAAATCAATCAATATTAGCCGACGACTAAAAATCCAATTGATTTCCAAAATTGGTCAGAGTTAGGGACCACTCACTATTTATGCCAGAGGGACAGGGCACGTTAAATCAGTAACCCCCTCCAGTACAAATACAAAATTCCATCCTGCACACTATCTTAAAAATGCAGAAACCCCCCCCCCCCTAAATATGTTTTGAAATTTTCAATTTCTTTTATTTGGGCAGGACGTTAAATTGTATAAATCTTTAATTCGCTTTTAAGACACTTGGCCTACAGGCCAGTATAAAAAGTGAAATTTTAACTCAGACGTTTGGTTTGAGTATTTTGCTTTAATTATTACTGTTATTATTATTATTATTATTATTACATTAGTCAACTGGGTACAAATGTGTTAAAGTAATTCATCATACAAATCTACATCAATCATACGAAACTAGCAAACAAGTGTTTAAGAGTATAATAGAAGCATATATAGTGTATGCTAAAACTCTGGAAGTCTTGAATTATTATAATTTACAATTCAAACCTGAAAAAATCTTAGACCGTTATCAGTCAGTAAGTCATTGTACAAATGTGTGATAAATCATTGTGATCTGCATGATATTAAACAAAGGTGTTTTTGCTTAATACCAAACAGATGCATTGCTTGCATGTTTTAATACAGTTTATTCATTCATTTCATTTATTTATTCATTATTCAAATATTTATTTATTATTTTTATTTATTCATTATTCATTATAATACAATAATAATGTACACTTAATCTGCAAATAGCAAATGCTAATCGAGGCAGATGGCATAGAAATAATTTTGTGAATTGGTAGAGCATATTAGTCGAAAGATGAATATAGATATATTCCCAGTGTACAACATGCATGTTTGCGAAGCAATATGCCATACACTACAATACTACATATTACCATTATTTCTAAATATTGCAAAACCGATTTGATAGATGATATGAACCAAGTCTTGTTCTAGAATAATTACATACTAGTTACATCTACATACTGTATACATAAATAACGAGTAAAATCGTCTGGCATTAAACAGAGTAAAATGCTAAAGTAGGGTGCAATGCGACTCAATGGGTTAATTTAATTGTCATAGATGTATTTTAATTAATTTTAATTTAATGATTTGCCCATGTGATATACAATGTTACATAAAAAAAATAAAATAATAAAAGTAGATAAATTTGGGCTAGGAGTCTATAGAAACCTTGAACAGGCTTTTGGATTTAGACCCCTAGTTTAAAGTCTTGGTGCTAATACATATATAGTTAAATTGTCATCGGTTCTAAGTATTTACAAAAAGTGAGGTTATGTTACATACATTCAATATTTGTAGGAGAGTATTTACTATTAATAATTAAAATGAGAAGCTTGAGTTAAATATCTATTTACATGAAGAGAAATTACAATTAAAGTGTTTTATAAGATTAATTACATAGAAAGTGTATTTTGGATTTTTTCTTAAAAATGAGACGTGATGTTATTATTTTTAAATTACTGTAAAGATTATTCCAAACATCCATCCCGTTCACTGAAAGCGAGTGCTTGACGTAGTTAGTTCTCTGATAAGACATATGAAGTTTAGTTGAGTTTCGAGTGTTGTATTGGTGAATTTGGTTATTTGAAACAAAAAATTAAGTTTGTGAAAAATTTTGGCAAGTTCTTTACATGATGATATCGGAACATGAAAGACTTGCAAGGTAGTTATTTAACTTAGGCCTGTTTCAAACGTAGCGCTTCTCATGTGCCGAACGCATTAGAAACAATAGATAATGAGGCATTTCAGCTGATTATCTATTGTTTGTAATGCGTTCGCCACATGAGAAGCGCAACGTTTGAAAAAGGCCTTACTGAGATTCAAGATCTGTAGGTCAATAAATATTTTTTCAGTGTGAGAAAAATTGGACTGAAATGTCATAAGACGAATGATTTTCTTTTGAATATCTGTTAACTTTTGAATTCTTGTTTTGTATGTGTTACTCCATTGCCATAGATTAGATATGGATAGACTAAAGCATAGTACTGTATAGTGTATATTAGTTTTAAAGTATTTAAATTTGTAAAATGACAAATTGTTGCAATAATTCCTGCAGATTTTACAATTTTCTTTGCAACGGAATCAATATGATTGTCCCATGATAAACATTCATCAATAACGTACTACTCCTAAAAAGGTTGTACTTTTGACTTGTTTGACATCGTCATTATTGATGAACAACTTTACTACGTGTTTCTTTTTCTTTTTTAAGGATAGAAATAAAATAAATTTGGTTTTTGATGTGTTGATAGATAGTTTGTTCGTGTTTAGCCATTCAGCTATTTTGTCCACTTCCGCCTGAAGAGTTTCATATAGTGTTTTGAGGCATGGTGACTGTAAAATATATTTGTATCATCAGCAAACAATAGCATTGATGCTATATAACTACAGTTTTGAATATCGTTTATATAGAGGATAAAAAGTAGCGGACCCAATATTGAACCTTTGCAGGACCCCAGTTTGTACTATCATTTCGCTTGACATTATTTGTTTATATTTTACAATTTGTTTCATGTTTGTAAGGTAATTTTCAAAACAAAGTCTTGCTATGCCACAAATTCCAAAATATTCTAATTTACTGATCAGAATCTTGTGATCAATGGTGTCAAATGCTTTTGACAAATCTGAGAAAATACCAATGGTGTATTTTCTGTGATCAATTTCTTTTGTAATTTTATTAACAAGTTCGATTATTGCAAGTTCAGTTGATCTGTTTTTTCTGAATCCATATTGATGGTCAGATAAAATATTATTTTTTTCAACGTATTTTATTAGTCGTTTGAACATTAATTTTTCAAGTAATTTAGCGAAACAAGTTAAAACTGATATTGGTCTATAGTTTTCAAATTTATTTTCTTCATTTGATTTGAATACTGGTGTTACCAGGGAAGTTTTCTAAAACTAAACAAATTAAAATCTGATTAAAATCTGTTCAGAAATAATATCTGTAGTATGTATGTGTATCAACATAATCATCCTCAGTCTCGTTTTGTATATATTTTCGTTTAGTAGAAGTCTTCTCAACTATTAATCTCTCTCTCTTAACCTTCTTAAACTGCAATAAATTCATACAACGGATAATACAAGACATGTTGATCTTAAAGTTTAATATACTTTAATATTTGAACGAGTCTGTTTTGGTCGTCGTTGCCGTTTGGTCGTCGTTGCCGTCGCTCCCACCGTGAGTGACACTGACATATGCCTTTTAATAGACAAACGAAACTGACATATGGCTTTTAAATCGACCTTTAAATATGAAATCAAATCAAATAACCTGCATGAAGATCAAATATTAATATTTTATATGCAAAATTTTCAACTCACTTACTCGTTAAAACACTTGAAAGGTCGTGTTCCTTTAAAACCACTCCGACTCAAATGCCTTTGTTCAAATTTCTTCTCTTTTTTTAAACAGGTAACTATATTGTCTGAGACGAGTTAAAAGTTTGCAAAATGACTTTATAAAAATGAGTCAATGACTGAATCTTTTCTGAATTTAATTCTGTGCTCTCACTTCCAGTGCTTCCATTTTCAAAAAACATAATTTCCTTCTAGCGGTAACCATTGAACCAACAGAGCTTCCACTCGGAAGGAAATTTCCTTCCAAAAGGATATTTTGGCATTTGGAAGGAAAATAAAAGGAAATAAGATTTCGAAGGAAAAGGGAAGGAAATTTTTCAATTTAAACTTTTCAGTAATTTCTAGTAATTTAATAATGGTTAAACACTTTATTATGAACTTTTGAGTTCAAAAACATTTATAAAAATAATACTTCGGATATTTACATAACCATCAAGGATGAATGGGGGTAATTTTGGACTTAATTAACAGGTCTTCAGTGAGTAAGTGAGTAGAGTATTGGGCTTAACTCGAACTTTTCAAGTTGTGTTTCTTTCTTCGAGTTAAGCCCTTGACAAAAATGGGTGTTGTTTGGGCGTGGTCGGGGCTTAACTCAAAGGGCATAACTCGAAGAGCTTAACTCGAGGGGTTTAACTCGAAGATTACCTATCTTATTTCTTATCATTTGCTTTTTTCCGTACAGCATAAGAGTCAATACATTTGAAGTTGACCTCTGCTCAATTCACTATTACATATTCACTATTATAATTATATATTCTACTCAATAATGAAAGCCACAATAATACTCCTCCATTTGAGTTTTCGGGGAATTCAAATCGCATATGAGATTTGAACTCGCATACCGTAAACCTCCGAATATAAGCCCCCCCCCCCACCCCGCCCCGCCAGATCATCCGGTATAAAAATTACGTAAAATGATTGTTTCTGTGTCAAAAACTGATAAGTTACAGAACTGCTGATAGCCATTATACACTGCTTGATCAACTTTCATTGTTTCATTTCTCCCCCCCCCCCCCCTCCATTTAGAAGTTGTTGCAAATTTTTATCCTGCTACTGCAGTGTTCAAAGCAGGAAATTTTAACATTGGTTATTCGAGCCGAATAACATTTTCAAAACAAAAATGTCGAAAATCAAGATAGAGGATATTACACGGCGGCGCGAAGATATGACTTTATCTTCGAGTGGTGAAAATAATATTTTATGAACGAGCGCAGTGAGTAAAACATTGTTTTTAACACGAGAAGATAAGGGGCCGACCATTTAACTTTTGAGGGTGGAGGGGGTGATTTACTGCTGGCAGAGAATTTTTTTCTGGGATCGTTATGTGCAAGATTTTGTTTTATCCCATCACCATGTACGATTTTTTTTGCCACACTTTCTTTCGCAGCATTTTTGCAATAGCTTTATTAGCTTATACTATTTAGGTTCTGTAATTATAGTTAATGTTGAGTTTTCTGCTTCATGCATTGCTCTTAATAATACATATTGCTATGAGGTATAACATTTGGTTCAGGGCCTTTTTTAAGGATGTGTAACTGGAGAGGACATAATTAGCGGGGGACCTGGAGAAGTTCCAGTCGGCAAGTCTGTACCCAGGGCCGTAGCTAGCATGTATAGTTGGGAAGGGGCGGTGTAGGACAAAAATTTCCAAATGACGAATTGGAAAAAATTTCCGAATATTTCATGGCATACTAAGCCACGAAGGTGTTTGCTATTCGGAAAATGAAGACGCAATTTACAAACAAAAATATGCATATTTTACGCACAGACATATTACAGAAGCAGTGCGGTAGGGAGTTGTTTATTGGGGTCAGAAAACGAGGGCCCGAGGCCCGAAGAAATTTTTAAATTTCGAGTCTCTGAAATGCCATTTCCTGGACTTTGGGGAAGTTTTGACAGAATGCTGATGGTCAGAAAAAAGCGTTTTAGTATGTCGAAATTTACAATTTGCTTACAATTTATAGTGACAATACAATTTTATAATATTTTCTTTGTTTAACAACTAAAATTTTGTTCTACTATAATTGCCGTAATTTTCAGAATGACCAACCCGATTTTCTGAATATGTTGATTATAAAAAAGTTATATATATAGGACTCTGAGACAACTGCATGAGATAAGTCTCACCCTCAGTGCAATGGGTCTATATATTGACACAGTCATCCATTAGTCATGTATGCTTACTTTATAGTTAACCTAAAAAAAGATGGCAAAATCATAGGGACTGGAATGGTTATGCCTGATGCCAAAACAGTTCATGGTTACCAACTAACCAAAGGTTGGGTTTGTGTGGCAATCAAACACCTTAAAAAATCCTATGTGCCATGCTGGGAGGAGTACCCAACACATTCAGATGAAATTGAAGTGGGTAGTTTCAGCGCATGGCCAGCAGACCAACTAATGACACCAGAAGGTTCAGGTACTGTAATGTGTCACTCTTAGAATAATATTAGATATTAGTATTAGATCTAATATTAAATATTAGAATAAGGAAAGCATAGATCTGTAGTGGTACCAAATTCATTTACTTCATTCATTTCAACTTATTATAGGCCTACCATACAATAAATATTTTTACATATTAAATTATTATAATACAAAATCCCGCTGAAAGTTGTTTTTGGCAGAATTTCCTGACGGCTGTTGAGAATTTACCTTCTTGTTTTGATACTGTGTTCTTTTTAAAACATCATTTATATAATTCCTTGTAGAATACTGGTAACTACACCTGTATTTTGAGTGAACTACGTACTGTATGGTAACAATCATGTACAAAAAGAAAAAATATAGGGTTTATTTCTCATCATCAACTTCCTCCACCGCCTATTATGAACAAACAAGACCACACTGCCTTCTCCCTCCACTGCCTAGAAGACTAGTCATATGGTGGCAACCCCCACCCCAATATCTAGATGAACTGTCCCCACTACAGGGTGTATAAAAAAACTGAACAGATTTGAAATTGCTCACAATTTTGCAAAACAGCTATTAGTATCCAATTTTTGATATATATATATATATATATATATATATATATATATATATATATATATATATATATATATATATATATATATATATATATATATATATATATAGTTTCCTTGGTACTTAAAATGTAAAATGAAAAAATTTCTCGAATTCTAATTCTGTAAACCAGGGGGGGGGGGTGTTGTTTCCATGAAACTAAACTGAAATAGCTTGCAATTTGGGAGGGATTCTGATTCTTAAGAACACGCCGGTTGTGGTTTGAAATTGATGCTTTAATATTGTTCATGCATGAATAACTGAGTTTGGTTGAAAATTTTATGTAGGATCGATGATTTGGGGAAATGCTTGTCTAATTAAACGAAGGAAATTTTCTGCAACTTTTGTCTTCACGTTCTTGCTGTATAGGGCGGATTGTACCAAATAATGTTTCTTGATCGGGTTCGTTTCTTGGGCTTACTACTATTTGTTTCATTGTCGTGCCTTAGGTTGGTATTGAAATTGCTTTGCTTCAGTGCATCTTCGTATAAAGGGGCGGCTGAATCAAAACTCGGTTTGTCGGAGGAAAGGGAGGATATACGTTTATAATCCACGTTGATGGTGGATGATTAGAACGGCTATCGATATAAATGGGATCATTATTTGGTTATTATAAAAAAAATATAAAACATTTTTCCGTATTGATATATAGCTATATCAACACTCGTGGAAGTTGGGAAAACTCGAAATTGTATGGAAACACTCCGTCCTTCGGGCGTCGTGTTTCCATACAATTTCTCGTTTACCCAATTCCACTCGTGTTGATATAACTGTATATCAACACGGAAAATGTTTTATATTTGTTAAAGGTGATCTATACAGTCCGTATGTAAACAAAGCCTTTGTTTACATTCTTTGTGTCCAAAATATTGAGCTTTATTCGACAACTATTTATATTTTCAATCTTCTAGAGTATTATAAATGATCAAGAAACAACAATCAGGCTTTTCGAGAACTCAAAATGCCATGCGCAGATTTAAAAAACTCATTAATAATTCAGGAGCAAAACACAAAGAAAAATCATAAGCGTGTCGTGGTTTTATATGTGATAAAAAATCATGTTAATTTACATAAACTTTAGCTTTGATTTTCTCGGTTTAGACAAAGTTTATTTTAAAAATTGCTTCGCTAATGTACTCATCAAAAGATGGGTCGTTTTTTACGCTATTTAAAAGCACTCGTAGTCGTGTTTTATCACATACGCGTCGTGTTTTATATGTGATAAAACACTCCTACTCGTGCTTTAAATAGTACATATTAGATCGTGGAAATCACGTTGGGCAGAACACAAACCAGGCGTAAGACTGTAAATTAAGTCAGCAATCAAAGACCACGCAGAAAGCACAGGACACAATGCCTCTATTCGCGCTGTTCTCGTTCTTGAAGCCTTTGGGAACGTCTGATTGGAACGTCTGATTGAACGTCTGATTTTTTCTTTGATTTATTATATATATATATATATATATATATATATATATATATATATATATATATATATATATATATATATATATATATATATATATAGATTGTCTATATCTTAAAATTAATTAATTTTAAGATAGGCTATAGACAATTTAATTTTAAATTTAATTTTAATTTTAAGATATAGCCAATCTAATAAGCTCTGCTATACTTTCAGTATTGAGCACTTTATATATCTAGACAACCAAAATAAATTGAATTATATACATATATATATATATATATATATATATATTAAGATAAAAATGTTCTAGAGTGTGTATTATATAATTTCCATACCCAGCGCAAGCAGAAAGATGTTGTCTGCCGCGGCTGGGTCTCGAACCGGATACTAATATCAAAAACTGGATACTAATAGCTGTTTTGCAAAATTGAGAGCAATTTCAAATCTGTTCAGTTCTTCTTACACACCCTGTATAGGAGACATTGCTTACTTAAAACGTTTTGCAAAGTCAACCAGAAGTTACAAGGCAGAGTTTTTAGCATGCTATGAATAGTTAAATATTTACCTGCATGTTGATTTCATTTTTCCAATTTAGATATACAAAGCACCAGCATGCTCATTGATAATGTTCACAACCTGCAACAGAAAAAAAGAAAACTTTTCGTGAATGTAAGTTTTTCCATAATCATTTAATTAACGTTTCATAATTACATTCAGAAGTAGTAAATAGCCAAGTCTTATGTTAACAAATTAATATATAACCCTTGATGAGTAAAATCATCTCATATTACACATGTCATATTTTGTGACGACAAAGAGCCTGTAGGGGTATTTCAGGTTTTGGGACTTGGAGCGTGCACCTCCAAATTTCAGGAGGTTTTTATATGTGGGGAACCCCCCTCCTATACTAGTCACAAACCCAGACGCCATTCTTATGCCTTCATTTCTATCCCCTCCTTTCCAAGTGATTATACCCATTTTTTACACTCAAAGTATATGCCTTTTGTTACCATTTACCAGTTACCATTTACCAGTTGTTCCCCCATTTTGGGGGTAATGCTCCCCGCAGAATTTAGCTATTTTCAGATTGGATGCCGGGGGGGAATTCAGTATTTTGGGGGAGAATCTCTCACAGTGTATAACAGGATACTAGCAACTTAAAATCTGGTAGTGGTATCCACCCAAAATATCTAGTATCCCACCCTTTTTAAAAATCATAGTACAAAAATTACAAATTGTATTAAGTGAAATGCTGCGATTACTAGTAATTCCATGTGGGGACTAGCTAACAGTCGTGGGTCGTGGGTAAAAAATTGTGGGTAAAAAATCGTAAGTCGTGGGTAAAAAGTCGTGGGTTGTGGGTAAAAAGTCTTGGGTCTTGAGAAAAAAGTTGTTGCTAACAGTCGTGGGTAAAAAGTTGTGGGTCGCGGGTAAAAAGTTGTGGATCGTTGGGTTGGAAAAATACAAAAAAAAAATGAGCGCGCGAAGCAGCGCGCTCGTATAATTATGATTATACACCCCCTCCCACACCCCCACACCCCCTCAAGTTTCGGCCCTGGGAGGGACCATACATTTCTCCCTTCAAGTGCTCGTATAATCATAATTATACGAGCGCGCCGCTTGTATAATTCAAATTATACTTCACACTTTCCGGTCGAAATGTATGGAATACAAGTGGTAGATTACAAATCACTGATACACAGTAAAATTATCATTTCATTTGCATGTAAAATAAACAAACATGAATTGATAAACTAATTATGGTTAGTCAAAACAGACTGCCCATATCTAACTGGCAATGAAGGCCTATAATAAAATTTATTAAAAGTTGATTTGTTCGTCCAATCAGCCATAGATAAAATAGTGTCAATGGATAAACCAGCTGCCTTGGCACCAGTGGTTGAGGCTCCACGAACCGAGTGACCTTTAAAGATATCGTCCTTAATTCCCAACCGGCGGATTATTATAAGTAATAGCATAGAAAGAGGCGAATTAGCTATTAAAACGTCCCGCCCGATAAGGGTCTTTAGTAAAATTCCCTTGGGCGCCGCTCGATGAGGGTCAGTTAGTCACCCGAATCGAGGGTCACCCGAATCGAGCGGCGCCCAAGGGACTTTTACTAAACGACCCTCATCGGGCGGGACGTTTTAACAGCTAATTCGCCTCTTTCTATGCTATTACCTTGTAATATCATGTTTTTAATGAAAAACCAATTAACAATCATGTATAATTGTTTTCCATGTCTTTGTTTAGTTTTGCCGATTTCAGATATATTCATTTTTTCTAATCGTACCCGCTTTGACGTCGTTTCGGGTAGGATTAGTTAACATGCACAACTCGACGTTAGCGAACGAATATTCAGTTATGTTAATAATGTACATTGGGTCGCCACCAACCTATATGAACATGGCTTTGTGATTGGTTGATCATAACAATAAAAGACAATGAACTATAGAAATTATCTTACTTATCTTTCTAAAGAACGAGGCATAAACACTGATCACAAAACACGACATTTTAGATTGGTATTGTATTTACTCGACTATTTATGCAAATACACGTGTTTTTTAAATCATTTCAACAGTAGCCATGGTAGACGATTTACATGTGCATGATTGCAACCGCTCTGCAGTGTTTAGCAATTTTGTGTAACATTTTATTCTCCGTGCATATACTTGTGCTGTAGAGGCATTAAAAAGATATAGCAGGTTAAATAACGAAATAAACCATGCACTGTTAACCGCGAGTTATTACTTGAAAACTTTGAAAGTTTCTGCAAATTATTATTCCTGATAACAGCATGCCCGCGGCCCCCAAACAAACATCCCAAGGGCACGTATGGAAGGAGTATTTGTTTCCCAATCTTGTGTGTTCGGTTCGGCGTTCATGCAAAGGTCGCGACTTTTTCAATGAAAGAGAGCAATTTCTGTTTTGGAATTTAACGGGGGAAAGTGTCGAATCCTTTCTACAGATTGTACGTGATGTACGCCCAACAGTTTACTCGCAAACGAGGAGAGGAAATAGAAGACAGATTCACTATCCTTATATACTTTCCGTTCCCTAGCTTTACTGAGTGAATTAACCATGCATTTTAAACGCCAGTCTGTACTATTATTCCTGGTACAAACATGCGCCCAATCTAATAACCCAAAGTTAAAGAGAGCTAACTTTCCTTTCTGTAAATATAATTGCATTGTGAAAGGACACTTCAAGTTGCTCAGGCTTACCTAATTATGCGCCACGTACTTTAGAGTTTAGATTTGTGTAAACAAATTATTATGAGGCCAGTCTTCGGTTGACGAATTGACATTAATTAGTTATGTGTGGATGCCCCAACAAAAAATGATACTACAGTATAGAAAGTTATCCTATTGTTGTTAATAACTGGTAGTTAAAAATTCAATTCAATTGTGTTTACGCACTCTTGTTTTTTCATGGCAGACATTCAAATTATAGTCTTGACGATTAGAATATATTGGTTTACTCACTAGACGAAAATTCATAATGTACTGT